TGAATTTTGGCCTCACAATAGGGACTAGTGCACACAAGGCTGTCTTGAGAGGATTTACATATTTTTCTTTCAGGGGCTGGGCTTACTCAAGCAAGTAATGATTGCTCTCTCCTTTTACAATTACATTTTTTTCTAAAATAATCCATATATACTGTCACATTTGTGAGGACAAAGAACAGCAGAAATTTTTAAATGTCACTAGGTATTAAGTACTGTTGGATACCACTTGACAATTTGTATCATACTTGCATGAGTTTCTTATTTGCCAAATTCATGATGAACACATTGTGACAGCATGAAGATGTTATAGATGAATGCACTATAGATGGTGATACAATGATTATTAGTAAAATTTCAGTGTGACCACAAAGGGCAAGGTAGCTACAGTGTCTGGTATGTGATATGTGTGTGTTTTTCTTACAGATTCTGAACACCAACAGGCCAGGATGTCCTGCCAACAGAGCCAGCAGCAGTGCCAGCCCCCTCCCAAGTGCCCTCCCAAGTGCCAGACACCAAAGTGTCCTCCAAAGTGTCCCCCTAAGTGCCCCCCTGTGTCATCGTGCTGCAGTCTGGGGTCTGGTGGCTGTGGTTCCAGCTCTGGGGGCTGCTGTGGTTCCAGCTCTGGAGGCTGCTGCAGCTCTGGGGGTGGTGGCTGCTGCCTGAGCCACCACAGGCCCCGCAGATCTCTTCGTCGCCATCGTCACAGCTCTGGATGCTGTAGCAGTGGTGGCAGCAGTGCAGCAGTGGCTGCTGGGGCAGCGGTGGTGGCAGCAGCTGTGGCAGTAGCCAACAGTCTGGTGGCTGTTGCTAACCTGGGTGAGGAAGACGTCAGACAACTGTTGCAGGAGGAAGCCATGCTCAGCAGACTGGCCCATGCATCTGCCTTCTCTGCCCTGGCTCCCCTCCTTGTCCTGGCCACTCAGATGCTGACATCTCCTGTGAAAGTTTCTGCATTCCTCTTACAGGATGATAGTGTCCCTTTGCCTGTTTGTCACAAATAAAAAGCCTTGCCAACCAATCCTGACAAGACTCTTGTTCATTTTCTCAGCATCATCCTTACCCCAGGATAATGTGGTGGACTTAGGGGAGCCCTGGTCTAGGGCCCTAGACTGCCTGGGGAGTGGAGGGTGGATGGGGTGGGGGCAGGTGCGGGGCTGAGGGATAGTTGGGTGGAAGGGGAGGGAGAAGGTATTGACATGTGAAGCAAGCTTGTTCTGAATTTGAAATGATAAAAAATTAAAAAAATAAATATTTAAGTGATTCATAGATTTTATACTTTGAGAGTATTTATGCATTGTGTGTAATTGTAAAACACGTAGATAAAAGCAAACATCTCAAAAAAATTGACTCCCTTGATACAGATAAAAAGAACACTTTTCAAAAATTACTTCTGATTAGAGTTCTATGTGCTCTCTTATATTCCAGGATAAGGAAAATGGCCTTATATAAGATAAGTATCTGACAACTGAAACCTTCAGAATGTCAACTGTTTTTGTCTTGAGACATAAGTCTCCAGAGCTCAACTCTAGGCTAATTCTAGTCGTCCAGATAGCATGATACTCATACACACATGTGAACAGGAGGTAAGCCTTGGGCGTGGTATTGCCGTGCCTAAAGGCAGAAGTATGGACTAGCTGGCATTTCAGCTACATCATCCTAGATGAGCATGTGTAACTACCATTGTGGAAATCAGGGATCATGCTTTGACCACTCCCAGTTGTAGGGAGACACCCTAGTCCGGCACAATAGTCCTGGGACAGGTACCAGGTGGACCCGGGACTTTCCCATAAGGGCGTGGTGAGGAAAGCCGGGGTGACGTAAGGGAGCTTCTTAAGGGGCTGCCTGTGGGGACCCTGGCCCCTTTTGTTCTGGCCGCGCTGGCTGGGTTCTATAACCTAGCTCTGGCCTGTGTTTTACCTTGGTGTCTTCTGGAATAAAGAGACCTTAATCTTACACTTGGCGCCCAACGGAACTTCACGACCCTGAAGAGCCAACGGGCACCCAGGAGATCCACTTTCATCCACAGGGAAAACACCCGCTTCACGCTGCTACTATTATCCCTGTTCCCGCTTGCCTGTCTACACCTGCTGCCGCCGTCTGCGGCCAGACCCTGGCAGGGTAAGTCTTTCAACTCTAGCCCTGGGCACAGCCACCTGTCTGACACAATTACCCGACAGGTAAGTTCTAAAGATTTCCTTAGCAGCAAAAGCAGATTTCTGTGAGTCAGATCCTACCCTAGATAGACGCTGCGCCACCTGCTGGCCGGCACGTGGTTACTACAACCAGAAATGAAATTACCAATAAATATGGCTGCATTTCCTTTGCAGTTAGACATGTTTAACATATCTTATGCTTACATGCATTCACTGCTGGAGGAGCAGGCTGACTTGCAAAATATTGGCTTGTATGTTTTGTTAGCTGTGACTTTATTGATTCACGTGTCGTTGTTCCTCAAGAACAGAAGGAAGTTTGATCTCTCTACCCACTTGCAGGATATACAAGCCTTACGTAGCCAGGCTCAAAATGAATCAAAACTTACCTATTCATTGCTTCTTGAGCTGGTAGAACAAAAACTGGATGATAGGCTTCGTTCAATGTTCTATACGATACAGGCAGATCTGTCTAATACTCAAGCTGAAGTGCAGCACATTTATAACAACATAAAAATAGACAGATGCTCCATCTTAGAGTCTTTACAAGCCGATCGGGCAAAGGA